TATTGCTGTGTTGAGAAAGAGGTTCAGAGTGCAGGTCCAGCAGCAGTTTGTGCCCAGTGTGGAGGGGCAGAACCAGGCTAGGCAAAACTCAGGCTTCCTCACCCAGCACTGGGGATMTTTCCCCAACTCTGGAATGATTCAGGCTGGCATGGGGTCCCTGCCAGGGGAACTGTTTGCCATCCCCACGGGGCACTGCCCTATCTCACCCCAACAGTCACTGGAAGCCTGTTCAGATAAAGCCACAGCTGAATTCTCCTGTGGAAAGGCAGAGATGCTCCTTAGGAGCTGAGGCACAAAGGGAAGATTATCAGTGCTGTCCTTAAATACAACAGAGTTCTCCAAATCAGACACATGGTTTAATCCTCATTAAGATACAGACAATACGAAAAAGCAAAACAAACATAAGGCTCCTTTCAGAGTGCAGCTGCATTAGTAACTGCAAATAATACTGAGTAATCCGAAACCAAAATAAACACAGGAGTTTTATTTAGCACAATTACAGCTCTTTGGAAAACACCTCCTGATTTATTTTAAGGGAGGCAAGAGCAGGGGCTACAATTTCATCGAGGTGAGGCCAACCATTAGCATTCTGTCAATTCATGTCAGCAGAGAACCTGATASCTTATTTTCAAGAACTGAAAAACAGTTCGTGATTTCAAACCWACCAAGGTTTACAAGGGGACATTGGCAAGACACCTCTTGCTTTGTTTACATGCCTGGATAAATATTTTACATGTCAAGCATAGTTATAACACTTTCTAAGAATATTCCATTACATTCTTTCTTCTATGACTAATAATTGTTTCACAAAAATATTTGGCCAGTGCTGTGTTAYAGCAAAATTAGCCAGGAACTGGAGCCATATTTTGTGGGAGTAAAAAAGAGAAAATACCACTAAAAAAATATACAAAATTGAAAAAACAGAGAAGATGCCTATTTCAACACACATAATGAGGTGTTCGTGCAGAGGGAAGGTGCCTATTTGGGCACTGGATAAGGTCACTCTTGAAAGGGGAAAGTTCTAAAATTGAAGTGTATTCCAGAACAGTCCACTCCACCTTGACAAGCAGAAAGCTAACAATATTCTAGCCAAAACTGCAGCTGGTTTCATGTCTATCTCAAATATAACATGCAAAAGAAATGCCAGGACTTTAAAAAAAATATTTATTTCAAGGAAATGGTCTTCAAAGCCTGTCACTCTTCTGCTGAATAATCCAAGAGATTCTTAAATAAATTAGCATATTCCAGCAGTACAACTTATGCATGATTTTAATAAATCCTTAACAAGAAGAYAGATTTTCCTGTAGAGTCTGCTAATTAAAGAGTCTATTAATGTCCAAAAAGCTGCTCTAACCCAAGGATTTCAACTCGGTCCTGATCAGATGTGACCAAAACTGTGATACTTTAGAGCTCTTAACATGGACTGCATGAAATGAGGTAGCTTTTGTCAGTCTGGCTGAAGGCACAGGACATCCCCTCTTGCTGCTGAACCTGGAGCACCTCTCCCATGAGCAGAAGTCCCAGCAGGGGAACATTCCCTCCAGCCCCGTGTGCTGGACACAGCCTGGGCAGCACGAGGGGCTGGAATGCTCCTTGTCAGTGCTCCAGGAAGAAGTAAAGCCTTTAAGTTTCCTGGCTCTCAATCTGGTTCACAGGAGGTTTTGTTTTGAGTTGTTATTTTTACTTCAGCTGTGACAGCCTTCTAATTAAAGACAGCACTAAGTRTCTGCAGCACACAGGGTGAGAGGCTGGAGAACACTCTGCTGCATTAAGAATCATTTMATCTCTCAGAAATGCAATGACTCCACTCTCCAAGTAGTGAAGTGGCATTTCCCATAGCTGTTCATAACATCTTCAAAATGCTCTTGGAATGTCTTAACAGCACAGAGTGAAGACACATAGAGGTGCCACAGCCACGACATGTTAACCAATTTTCTGAAAACAACTGAGAGTTTCAAAACCAACTTTTAAAAGGAGAAGCCAATGATCTTGGCAAAGAACATTTTGTAATAGGGACATTTGACAGACAAGACACCATTTAAATATAGCACAGCCCTAATGCCCAAAGCTCTCCACARCTTTATAGTTATCAATAAATCCAGTTTCCCCCTTGCTTGGCCAGCACAAGGTAACAGAAATCATTAGACTGGCTTCACCTCTGTATCTTGTGCAGYGCATTCCCAGCTGACCTTCCCTAACCCAGCCATTTGTCACTCCTTGGGCCTGACAGCAAAACTGCATGTGAGCACAGCTTCTTCCATCAAATACGCTCATTTTGGACTTTCTGAGAGCCACGTTGTTCAGTGCTGCGAGGGGCCTTCCATCCCCAGGACACTGGGAGCTGTCACAGTGATCTTCCCACCCCACCGAGCACATCTGACCACGGCCTCACCCCGAGCCTGAGGTGGGACAGGGGCAGACACACTCCAGCCCCATTACTGGATGTGAAACAAGACGGAATGCTGGGAATGAGAAAGCTCCTCTCCCACGTGCCAAGAAATGCTGATGATCAATATTATTCTCCATTAGTGCAGCATCCAAATCGATGGTTTCGACCACACTCAAAGGGAGGTTTGAAATCACTGCACAGCACAGCTGAGTCCAGAGAYCAGCAGCATTTAGAGTAAAAACTAAAACCTGCCTAGTCCCAAGCGACTCAAACATTAGCTAATTTACACATGCTTACGATAGATCTCAGCAAAACCTTGTGATCTTTAGGTGCTTTATATTAAAGCTGAACCACTTCTCAAATATACCTGAATCCTATGAGTTGCACATGACTGAGTTTGATTTTTCATATTTGTAACCTGGTCAGTCTGAAAGGAAAAAGAAAAAATAGATACTATAAAAAAGGGTCAGGTTGTGCTCATATATACAAGAGAAACTCYATGGATTTGAGAAATCAAATTGCAACAGCAAATCAAAACCTGAAATTTTACTAATCTCTATTTCTTTTCTGTTTGACTCCTTTCCAGTAGTAGCAGTAAAGTATATTTTTCCAAAATCCGTATCAGTTTAAAGGCCTTTGTTATGTACACATCCATCTCCTGAGGCTGTATCAGTTCCTGACACCTGACCAAGGGCTTCTCAACCAGCATTAGACTACATGGAAGTCTGCAAGTGCCTGCCGGAACATTTCTGTCAATGGATTAGGGAACTCATTCATAACCACCAACTGCCACAGTAGATAACATTCCAGACAGACGGAAGCTTTTCTGTGGGCAGAGATTATGTAATACCACAATTTTTAATCCACTCGCCCAGAGGAAGACRAAATGAGCTCACTTTCACAGAGGTTAAAGCTTCCTTATTCTGTTTTTCTCTGTTGTTTGTTCCGGTTATGTTGAACTAGCAGATGATACTGAGCACGTGAGCTGAGGGACTTGGAAAATCCACCCAGCTCATCCTCAGTCCATCCACGAACTCTGCTGCTGCTGCCATCAGTTTCTTCCTGCCTTTTCCCTACTCACATCCTTTGTGGACCTCTCACTCAAATTTATCYGAGTTACCAGAATAACCTGAGTGAGAACTGCAGTCATTCAGTTATAAAATAGACACCACTCAGAAAAAAAATAATGTGAATGGTTATTAAACTGAGCAAATCACCCAAACTGGGGCAGATGCTTAATCCTGACGGTTTACAGGCCATCCAATGGCATCATGTGGACTCAGATTAATTTCAGGAAACGTGACCAGCTGCTGCCCCACCACAATGAGCCACAGGGCCAGGCTCCAAGGGATCCAGCCATGTTTTCTAGACCCGGAATTGCATTTATTGAAAACCCTTCTTTTATCAAACACTGCCTTGTTATTTACACCTGCCTCATCTGTTTTGCAAAGCTGCGTAACTCCAACTTTGCATACAAGCCATGTGGCAAAAGCAATCATTAACTGTTACACACCACTTCTCCCTGCTGTCACAAGGTTCAGTTCTCCTGAACTGAACTTTTTATGGCTGCCAAGMTCTGCTTCCTTCTGAAAACTTCCTGATTAAACAGACTAAACTCTGACACCCAGCAGAGGTCAGGGACATAGCACTGTTTTATGGAAGATGGTTGGGAAGTGCATTCATTTCCCAGTTCTTGGAACAATGCTGTTGCCACTGAAAACATGACTGACTAATGAACTCTAATCTATACTATTTCCCCACAAATTGCAAAGGCAGACCTGACACAGAGCTGTGCTCTCATTTCTCTATCTTTAGTCCATTTTCATCACCCCTTTTTTATTGCTTCTTTTGGYTATTTTGGTATTGAATCTCAGGCAGATTTTTATTCTTGCAGTAAATAGCTGAGTAATTCTCGAGTCACTCTGACAGCGGGATATGTATGACTTGTTACATTTTATAGTTCACAAGGGTATTTCTGTATTTGTGTGCTCAGTAGCAAAACAAAAGCAATGACTGAACATTCCTGCTCCCAGGAGCAATYCATGGATTAACACGATTTTTAATAGCTGCACATAACACATTTGAGGTTGTTCTGAGGGCAAGAAGAAAAAAAAAAACAATCCCAAATTGCAGAAGAAATTACTGAATGTTGAGCTTCAGCGACTACAGYCCATGTACAGTGCTGCTCCCAAGACTAACAGCCATTGATTTTCCTTCTCAATTTCAGGCCTATGCTTATGGACCAGCTGCCCTTCAAAAGCCCTTAGTCCTTTTTTGTGCTCCAAAAAGTGGATCCAAAGCCCAGAGGGGCCAGTCTAAAGTCTCTGCTGAGTTGGAGGACACATTGTGACTGCAAATTAGAACTGGAGCAAGACACAGGAGGAGAAATGGCCACGAAAGCTGATGGGGTAACAGACGGAAAGCAGGTCCTGGGACTTCAGCCACTCCAGCACCTGTAATTATCACCCTGTAACACTCCCAAAACACATCCCCTCCCCACTGCCAGGATTACAGTCCCAGTTTCTCTCTGTAGGGAAGAACAGGGTCGTTGTTCAGTAAACAACTCACACGCAAAGCCATCCAAAAGCCAGACACCCAAAATTGCACCCACCTTGGCAAAGATGGTCCAGCAGTKCTACTCGACTGTCATGCTGGAATTGGAGGGGACGTTGGGATCAGAAAACCTGAAAGCAGAATGGCTTTCATCAGAAGCCTGGCCAGGTTTCCCCAAAAGAGTAGATACTGTAATGACATTGTTTCTACAAAAATGTTAATGTTACCAAATTGGTAWTTTCTAAACTTTACATTAGCTCTGGTTATGCTATTTATGAGTAAAGTGAAGAAAAAAAAATGCTGATGGCTCTCCATCCTTTTACATTTCCCCCACCCCCACAGAAAAGGTGTTTATTATGCTGCTTGTCTTTCTGTGGGTTAAATTAGCTGTAATGAACTGATCCTCTGGCTAAACTCATCACTTTTCATTAAGAAACTAATTTAAAAAACAGGAGATCCTTTAGACAGCTCAAGTGACCTTTATCAGCAGGCACCAACTCAGCATTTCTCTTGTAAAGAAAGAGCTCATTATCCACACACTCCTCTGGGATCTCCAGGCAGAACACAGCAGCTCCAGAGTCCATCCCAAGCTGAAGCTTTAGGGAGACTCACTTTGCATTTATTAGGCAGGATTTGACTTTCTAGAAGGAGGAAGAGCTCCTGACAATGGTTTTGGCAAATACAGGCACCAAAGGGAGAGCACACAGGTGCCATTTCAGAGGTCACTGCAAGGCTCCTTTCCCAAGTTATTTGGCTGCTGAGTTGGCCWCTCATCATGCAGTGAGTTTCCTAACAGACTCTGCAACATTGTGATGCAATTATTAATCCAGTCCCACTGCTTGGCCAATATCCCTTTGTGATCACAGCTTTTGGCAAAGGGGGACAAAGGTGTTGTTAACCACAGCACTGGAGCCTTACGGCAAATTCATTACCAAGGGTAAAATGTTATTTACACCTAAATTTTCGACTTTCAGGTGTTTAAGTAGAGTTCATAGCAAGACTTTTAAACTATTTTAAACTTTGATTCTCCTGACTGCACTGCTACACTGTGATCAGAACACTTGGCTGCCTGTCACGGGCACATGGAATGAGTTCAAGATAAGGCTGAGTGACAAACACATCCTGGCATGGCCCAAACTTGGGGCCAAAAGCATCARCTAATAAAAAGAGATGATGATTGTTACTTCTCATGACCTCTACAGATAGACTGAGTCACCACACCAAAAAATGTTACAATATCCTGAACAGAAAACTCTAAGCAAATGGTTATGAAACCTCGTGGATGCTGAGAAGGCGGGACTGAACGTGCCAAAACATGAAGGTACCTCAAGGAGACTGAAGTAAGATCAGATTGATGATCAAATCAGCTGAAGCAAGAGGGTTTCTCAATTCTGGTGGTTAAAAATACTTTGGGGATGCAAATACATGTTACTGGTGTGCAGAGCTCAAGTAAGGCCATGTCTGGAGCACAGGAAAACAAAGTGCAACTTTGATTTTAGATGAGACACATCCAACAAACCTAAGTGGATCTTAGATTATATATTTCCGTTAGCACAACCAGTGATGAGGCTTCTGGAATTAYTGTCTTACCTGCCACTCCAAGAACTGTCTCAAAACCTTTCCAGAAAAAAAAACCAACCTCAAGAAAACCTAAAAAAACCCCACAATCACTTTCTCTGCCTGTAGGTACAWKCAATCTAYATCAAACAGCTCAAATGACTRTTGCTTGGYTCTTACCACTGTTGAGAAGGACGARTAATCAATATGGTTCTTTCATCTACAACTTCTTCCAGCTGCCCCTGCAGCTTGACTGAGCTCACTGAACTCCACTCACTTAAACAGAGTAACTACGAAACAGAAAGCTCCCCAAAAATAAAATGATGTAATGAATGCCTACCAGAAAAAATCATCCCTTTCAAGCCCAAAYCAAACACAAAACTCATCCCCTTTAACTCTGGCAGCAGAAGACAGCATCAAAGACATCAAAAAGCATTTCATGTGCTGCATAAAAGTCTGTCTTGAAACAAACACAAATAAATCAGCACACACCTATTTCCATGACAGGAGAACTTACTTTAACCTGTCCTTAAATGCTTTAAGATAAGGTGAAATAAGTCTCGGCACAGTCTTCTGCATAGGCTTCACTTGGTTTACATAAACTGCTGCRTTTCAGCCGTAAGATCAGAATATGAATGTTATTATGGAACATAAAGGCATTGCTGTACAGGCTGCTTTGCAGAAGAGCATTTGTTAGTGACGTAAATACAGAGTTATGTTATAATCAGTCTTTATTTTAGTAAGAGGTGACTGCTTCCCTAAACAGAATAAATAATAATAAAAGCACATGGAAATCCAGTCTGAAGAATACTCTCACAAGCTGCTTTGCCTAAACACTAACCCACAGATCCTGACCCCAATAATTCAGTTTTGATGCTCAGATGACCGAAAACACTTCTGTGAACTGAGGTATTTATAACCCTCAAATCCAGGTGACTGTGAGCAGCCTCAAAGCCCCTGCACAGGGTAAACAAGGACACACCTTAACAGGGAAAGCTGAGCCTTCCCGTTGATTCCCAGACACAACTTCCTTCCCATGAACTGTTTGTGACTGCTGCTAATGCCAGCAGGAAGGATCGCAAGGTGAGGATAAGGCTCTCACAGGGACCAGAGGGGAACTTTTTGCCTTAAAGCCATAATCCACAGCTGCAACAGCACTGGGGTTGTAGCAAACCTGGCAAAGTAATTCAAAACACTCTCCTTATGGAGGTTCTTCATCTTCGGTGTTTACAGAATCCCCAAATGGTTCCAGTGGAAAGGGACCTCAAAGCTCATCCCGTTCCACCSCTGCTGTGTGCAGGGACATCTTCCACTGTCMCAGGSTGCTCCAAGCCCTGTCCARCCTGGCCTTGGWCACTTCCAGGGATCCAGGRGCAGCCACAGCTTCTCTGGGCACCCTGTGCCAGGCCTCACCACCCAAGGAAGAACTTTTACCTAATACCCAATCTAAATTACAGTCAATGTGAAGCCCTTCCCCCTTGTCCTGTCACTCCAKGCCCTGTAAACAGTTTCTCTCTGTCTTTCTGCAGGCTCCCTTCAGCTCCKGGAAGGCCGCAATTAGGTCACTCCAAAGTTTYTCTTTTCCAGCCCRAAYGATCCCAATTTCCCAGCYTTTCCTCACAGCAGAGCTGCTCCATCCCTCTGAYAGTCTSGGTGCCTCTTCTGGACTCACTCCAGCAACTCCATGTCCTTCCTGTGCTGGAGCAGCTCTGCAGGTGGGGTCTCACCTGAGCGGGGCAGAATCCATCCCCTCCCCTGCTGTCCATACTGGGGGTGGGGGGGGTCAGCCCAGGACTTGGGGGGCAATTTTGCATCYSAGGACCCAGGAAWTTTGATCTTCTCATYCCTAAGTCCTTCTCCCCAGGGCTGCTCTCTATCTGTTCATCCCCAGCCTGGACTGATACCGGGGGTTGCCCTGACCCAGATGCAGYACCTTCACCTTGGTCATATTAAATCTCATACCCAAGACTGTTTGCATAATTATCACCTCTTCCCTGAAAAGCCTCAGATCACTGAGATGACAGCACAGTGAGGCAGGATCAGAGCTGACAAAAATGTGCCTATGGGCAGAAGAGGGCTGAGGTCTCACCTATTCACCCATGTAGGGGAAAATCCCTTAAAAACTCCTACTGCTTTCAAAGCACAGTGGGGCCAGAAAGGAGGGGGAAAACGAAGGTAAAATCAATCCTAAAACCTTGCTTCAGAATAACACTGCACCAAGCCTACAGCCCCAGAACACACGTAGGAAGATGGTGCGTGACCAACCAGCACCCTGAGGGGAGTCTGGTTCCATTCTGGGGGTGGTGGGCACAGCAGCAGCCRCTCCACAGGACACAACCCTGGCCTCACACACAGCCCAGGGAAAGGTGAACATGTCAGGAACACAAGGATGCAGTGCTAACCCAGGGATAACAGTCCCAGGCCCCTGCCAAACACAAAGTTTAGGGCGCACCCCAAAGACCCCCTTTTCAAGTAAACATTAAAAAGGTGGCAGCACCCCCATCCCCACAGATGCTCCCCCCTCCCCCAGTACACATGAGGTGTTGTCCCCAAACACCCTCGGAGCAGCCCCCAAAGCTCCCCAGGCCCCTCCAAAGCACATTCACAACAGAGTCCCCTGTGTCCCCTCAGACACRGCCCCACAGCCCCCTCCAGCACATCCCCTGTGACTCCCAGATACCCGCTCASCCCCACAGCCCCCAGGACCCCTGTGATCCCCAAACACCCCACTAGCCCCACCTTCACGTTCCTTGGCACCCTCTTCTATGTCCCCTGTGACCCCCASATATCCCCGAGCCCCCTCCAAAGCCCATTCACAAGAACGGAGCCCCCTGTGATCCCCACAGAACCCCTCAACCCCACAGCCCTCATCTGCACGTTCCCTGTGACCCCCGGGCCCTCCTCGGCCCCTCACTCTCCTCTATGCCCGCGGGGCTGGCAAGGCCCCCCCCACCCGATTCCCTTTCCCGGACACATAGCGCACCGCGGGCGTCCCCAGGCCCGTAACCACCCTCAAAGCACAAAGAGGGCTGAGAAGAGTCCCAGAGGCTCAGAGTGGAGCGGGAAGGGGCCCYCAAAGCCCCAGAAGGTCCCCGGCCGCCCCCCCGCCCTCTGAGGCCTCACTCACCGCGTCCCCGCCGCGGCCGCTCCCTCAGGCGGGCGGTGGGCGGGGCCCCGCCACTGAGCCACGCCCACCGCCCACGCAGCCACGCGATTGGACTAACCGCGTGATTGGCTTCCCCGATTGGCCAATGGGAAACGAGCGATGGCAAGGGGGCGGGGCGTGAGGGGTTGGCGCCCGCGGGGCTCGGAGCCCGCCCAGTCCAGCCCAGTGTCCTCCCAGTCCGCCCCCACAGCGCCTTTTGTCCCGAAAAGTGCTTCCCTGTCCCCTCCCAGTCCATCTCCYTRTATCCCAGTCTATCCCAGTGCCCTCCCAGTGGCCCTTTTGTTTCTAAAAGTGCTCTTTTTGTCCCTCTCCGTCCCATCCCACCCGGTCCTAGMGCCTCCCAGTCCATCCCAGTGCCCTAACAGTCCACTCCCAGTGCCCTTTTAGTCCGTGTTAAGTGCCTCCCAGTCCTATTCAGTCCCTCCCAAATCCCATTCAGTCCCAAGTCTATCCCAGTCACTCCCAGTTCATCCCAGTCTCCTCCAAGTCTATCCCARTTRCTCCMAGTCCATCCYAGTCTTTTCCAATGRCCCCCTAGTACCTCCCAGACCCCTCCCAGCGCCTTTTTTGTTCCTATAAGTGTTCTTTTTGTCTCYCCCAGTACCTTCAAAGCCCATCCAACTCCCTCCCAGTCTATCCCAAAGCCTCCCAGTCCCTCCCAGTCTTCCCAGTTACCGGCAGACCCCCGCAGTGTGTGTGTCTACACGTCACAAGGTGTGATTGGGGACAGATAGGCACCCTACAGGTGTGCGCCCACCTCCCGGTGCTCGGGGACCGGAGCGCAGCCTCCCCCCTTCCCCCGGGTCCCCCGGGAGAAAAAGGATGAACCCCGATGCTGGAACCGCTCCCGGCGTGTCCCGGGATCCCTCCGTCCTCCAGCCGCGTGTCCGCCACCGGCGGGACGGGATCCCCGGGAGAAGAGGGGTCCCGGTGCTGTCCCGGTACCGGGCAGAGCGGGATCCTGGGGAGGAGCGGGATCCCCGGTAAAGAGCTGGATCCCTAGGAGGAGTGGGATACCCCGGGAAGATCGGGATCCCTAGGAGGAGCGGGTTACCCCGGGAAGATCGGGATACCCCGGGAGGAGCGGGATCCCCCGGGCGGATCGGGATCTCCTGGGACGATCGGGATACCCCGGGAAGAGCGGGATACCCCGGGAAAGATCTGGATCCCTGGGAGGAGCGGGATGCTCCGGGAAGATCGGGGTCTCCTGGGACGATCGGGATACCCCGGGAAGAGCGGGATACCCCAGGAAGAGCGGGATCCCCCGGGCGGATCAGGATAGCCCGGAAGGATCGGGATACCCCGGGAGGATCAGGATTTCCTGGGAATATCAGGATCCCTCGGGCGGATCGGGATACCCCGGGAAGAGCGTGATCCCCCGGGCGGATGGGGATCTCCTGGGAGGATTGGGATACCCCGGGAAGATCGGGATACCCCTGGAGGATCGGGATACCCCTGGAGGATCGGGATATCCCGGGAGGAGCGGGACAATCCGCGGGGTCACTGCCCCGGGAGGGGCGGGGGTGAACGGCGCGTCCCCGGGCGCTGCCCCCGGTGCTCTCCGGCCTCCCGGAGATTTCGTTTCTCGCAAGGATCTCGCCGCGGCGGCCGCGGGGACGGGACCGGAGCGCTCCGGACACCGCGGCATCGCCGGGCTCCGGCTCGCACCGGGGCGGGGAGCGGCCGCCCACGGCCACCGGGAATGCAGGTAGGAGCYGCTCTCCCTCCTCCCCGTCCCCCCGGGATTTGTCCCCCTCAATTAGGGCTGGAAATTCATGCCCTGGGGAGATGGCCCCACTCCCCACCTCCGAAAGCCATCACAATGCCCGGAGCAGCCGGGGGCTCTGTTTGGTTCTGAGCAAAAAGCTGCTCTCACTCATCTGGGGGTTCCTTTCTACCCCACCCTTTTCTAAAGTCCCCACTCGAACCCCCCCAAGGACAATATTTGCTCTTGAAGCAAAGAAAAACCGTCTCAAAGAAAAATGTCTGAAAGCAGCTAAGCAGGGATAAAAGCAAGAACATAAAATCAGTATAAAGTAATAAAAATTCCGAATGTATCTCAAGGCCTAGRAATCTTCAGGAGCAGGAGAAATACMAGATTTGTTCTGGTTTTACTGTAAATCTCATTTGTAACAGAGTCACTCCAATGGGAGAACTTTAAAATAGCTTTCAGATAGTTCTAGACAAAATACACTGCTAATTTCTTTCACTTTTATTTTCCCCCATAGCTTATTGAGTGAATCTGAAAGGCAGTTTTGCCTTGCTGCCAAGCCTGCTCAGAGTTTATTCTGGAGTCTCACTGTCTCCTCATGCAGTGTCATGTAAATGACACTTTGCTAAATCCAACCAAATTGWCCTTCTGCTGAGGAAASCCCCTCACCAGCCTGCTGCTGCATCTCCCAGAGAAGCCGTTTTCCCTGCAGTGATGCAATGTATTGCTCCTGTCTCCTGTTCTGATTTTTTTTTTAATCTCCTGATTCAGCCTTGCATTTAGGATGTGCCCAACTCCCATTCTCCCATCTCCTCACCTCTGATTTTCAGAGGGCTCAGCTCCTCTGTCCACACACACAGTCGAGGGATGGCTGCTCTAAACCACCTCCAAAATCCTGCCTGAACCTGAAGCGCTCTGAGMTGGTAGCTGCTTCAGAAAATACCATTTGACAGCAAAATTGTTAATTTTCCAGTGAGTGAAGCTGAGAAATTGCCGAGATTCACATTAATGGATTTTTAAGGGGAAACATTATCTGCCTGGCTGCCAGTAATATTTCAAGAYGTAGATGGGGCTGGAAGCAGGATCTGAGCTCCCTTCTGGCTCACATACCCTGGTTGAAGGGGAAAAGTAATTCTTGAGGGGCCTGAACTCCATGGCCAGCAAGCAAGAGGAGTGGACATCTCCCTAAACAGGGGATGACCATTTCCACTCATGACCAAATGATTGCTGGGGATAAAGTGAGAGATTTCTCTTCAGCTGGTGTTTTTAAGACACAATCAAAGCACTGTAGCCAGCTTTATTTTCACAGCTTTAAAGAACTGAAGTGCTCTCCTAAAACCTTGAGAATCCAATGAGCRTCTGAGGATCCTGCAGGAGCAGGGAGCCAGCTCAGGCAGTCCAGGCTTTGCCAGACTTGGCTTTTTCTAATTCCCTGCAGCCATGGGGAGTGGGGATGGGTAACCCCCAATCAGAGCCTGAAGGAGGGCAGATTCTTCTGCTAAAGAGCTGGAGAAAGAGAGGGATTTGTTGATGCTGATTTGGGCAACCAGAGACTCATYCTGGGGCTGGGATGGGGAAAAGTGTGAGGAAGATGTGAGGAAGAGCTGCAGGCAGCACATCACATCATGTTGCAGTGAGAAACCAGCCAGGAAACACTGGAGAGGGTGGAGGAATCCCCAGAGCAAAGGCAGGACCAGAGCTGGGAATTTTTCCCCCGCTGATGGATCTGATCTCTCCCCCAGGGCAAAGCGGCCATCAGCTCTTCCTGCCCTGCAGTGGAAGTGTCACCACCCCCACCCCAGGCTGGACTGTCACCCACCAGCACTGCCGAGATCTTCAAACTTCCAGGGAGGCTCCGTGAGTAGAGGCTGAGCAAGTCAGTGCTGCTCAGAAAGGAATTCCTGTGGGGTGGGATGTGCTGGGTACAGCCATGGTGTCCCACCCAGGGACAATTCCCTGCTGGCAGGGGGACAATCAGGGTTCATTTTCCCTCTTCGTGGTGTTTTCTKTGAGTGCTTAGTACAGAGGGAAAGTTTGGTGATGGAGAAGAAGCCCCATGGTGCCTCTCAGCATTTTTGAGGATGGAGAGTGGGTTTTTTCAGAGGCTGCTCGTGGTTTCAGGAATCCAGCCCTCACTGTGGAGCAAGGATGATGTGATCCACTGGCTACGATGGGCTGAGCAGGAATATTCCCTGCGGCCAGCTGACCACAGCAAGTTCGAGATGAACGGCAGAGCCTTGTGCMTCCTCACCAAGGACGACTTCAGACACCGAGCTCCGAGCTCAGGTGAGACCCTGTCATGGGTTTAAACCTGTTTTTTCCCTATCCGAGTCACGGCACCAAAAATCGGACCAAGTAAAACCATGACAGACSCAGAGCAAGGGGATTTGTGAGCATCACCCCAGCACAAGCTGTGCTCTGCTCACAGGGACTCCATGGCTCCAGCAGAGTTTTTGTGCTGGACATCAGAACAGCTCTTCCTTCCTTTAGTCCATCTGGACTGCAAATATTTTGGGGTGGGGAATAACCCCACACTCTGCAGTTCAGAGTCTCAGGGGCTGTTACCCAAAGCCACCTGAGCAGAATTTCCTTCCATGCAGGGGATGTGCTTTATGAAATCCTCCAGTTCATCAAGACTCAGAGAAGAGCTCTGGTGTGCAGCCCCTTGCTGAGCTCACCCTTCAGGAAAGCCAGGAGCACTGAGGAAGGTACCATAGGAGAAAATTATCCTGAAAGTGTCCCTCAGGGAGAGCCTGCCCTCAGCTCCTGTGGGTTACACACCTCTGGGGCTTGGAACTCAGCTCTAAACCCATACCACATCCCCTGAGAGAGGCAAAGCAAAGTTTGTGGTGATGCAGCAGGTCAGAACCAGCCCCAGGCAGCACCAGGGGATCCATGGGGACCTGGCAAGGCTGGGGCTTCCCTGAGAAGTCAGCCTGCAGATTGACACCTGGATCTGGGAGGGTCAGCAGCCAGGCAGAGGTGCAGCCCAGATGGAGACAACTCCTGCAACATCATTGGGAAAGGGCTGAGGAGCTGGGCTGAGCTCACACAGAGTTTCTGGGCCAGTGGGTGGGGTGGGGACAGGCCCCAGGTGAGGCTGGTGGGGGCCACTGAGGCTCCTCAGTGCCCTGGGGGGCACAGGTAGGAGTTAGGGTGGGGCTGGGATGGTGTCAGAGGCTGGATGTGYTTGAAGAAGGATTTGGGAGCACCTTCCTGGGCTTTTCTGCTGGCTCACATGGAAGGTAATTAATATATCAAATCCCCACAAGAATTTACCAGGGGCTGCTGATGCTCTGGGGCATTTTTCTGCTCCAGTTTTGTCTCTTCATCTGACCCCTGCCCTATCTGGCATCTGCTCTAACCCTCCTGGACTTTCTGCTGCTCCTGACACCAGGAAAAAGCCCCAGGCTGTCCTCAGCACCCTCCACCCTCCTGGCACCGGGCTGACACCCACCCTGGGCTGTCCCTCCCCTCCTTTAGGGCTCTGCAGTGCCTCAGACCCACACTGATGTGCCCAGAGTGTTTCTTTGGGAGTTTTTTGTGCCCAGAGTGTTTCTTTGGGTTCTTTTTTGTGCCGAGGGTGTTTTTTGGGGTTTTTTTTCAGGTACAGACTGCAGCACCGAGGCTGTCCCTGTTGTTTCCCCGTGGCTGGGCTGTGCAGATCAGCCCCCGTGCCACAGCCATGCACAGTCACTGAACCTCTCCCACCAGGGCTCGGAGAGGAGCTGCAGACCAGGTGCCATCTGCTCTGCTCCTGCAGCCCTGCCGGCCCCGGTGGATGGCAAAATTGCAGGTAATTATGGATTTATAGCCTTGCTCCTGGGGGAAATGGGATGGTGCTTTGTCCTGCCTGTCCATCTGTCTCCCTTCCCTTCAGCACATGCTTTTCCACCTCAGTTTCCCCACCTGAACGATTGTAGTTTTTTTGAGATCTTGCAGTAAAAGCACTGTGAGTGAGCTCCRGGCTCTTATTGCCACTGCTAAAAGTGCAATCCCGCTGCTGCCCCCGCTCCCTGGAGCTCTCTGGGGGCTCTGTGATGGTGAATTTTGCCCGTGCTCAGGCTGCAGGCTGCTGTGGGAATACGTGTACCAGCTGCTGTCCGACAGCCGCTACCAGCCCTTCATCCGCTGGGAGGACAGCCAGGCCAAGATCTTCCGCGTGGTCAACCCCAACGGGCTCGCCCAGCTCTGGGGCAACCACAAGGTAAATGCAGCAGAGAGAAAATCTGTCATTCCTCAGAAGTAATTTGTCACCTCTGTCACCTGTTCCCCAGAGCTGATGGCACAGGGGCTGGGAAGGGGGACAGGGTGGGTGCAGGGTTAGTGGAAGATGACAGCCTGGTGGTTGAGGAGGGATTTTCTCATCCTTGGGAAAGCAAACCGTGCTGGCTGTGAGTTGGAGACCCCTACTACAGCCACAGATGTCCCACGTGTGGTCCTGGTGTGCACAGACCACAAGCAGGGGTGCTCAGGGGGTGGTCAGAGGTGCTCAGGGGTGCTCAGGGTGCTCAGGGGTGGTCAGGGGTGGTCAGAGTTGATCAGAGGTGGTCAGGGGTGGTCAGGGGTGCTTAGGGATGGTCAGGGGGTGCTCAGGGGTGGTCAGAAGTGGTCAGGGGGTGGTCAGGGGTGCTCAGGAGTGGTCAGGGGTGCTCAGGGGGTGGTCAGGGGGTGATCAGAGGTGGTCAGGGGGTGGTCAGGAATGGTCAGGGGGTGGTCAGGGGTGGTCAGAGGTGGTCAGGGGGTGGTCAGAGGTGGTCAGGGGGTGGTCAGGAATGGTCAGGAGTGGTCAGGAATGGTCAGGGGTGGTCAGGCGGGTCCTCACAGGGGGTCAGGGGTGCTCAGAGGGGGGTCATTTGCTTTCACTCCACACCCAACAACCCTTCCCTCCTTCCAGAACCGCATGAACATGACCTACGAGAAGATGTCACGGGCACTCAGGCACTACTACAAACTCAACATCATCAAGAAGGAGCCAGGGCAGAAACTGCTGTTCAGGTGAGGTGAGGCAGAGCAGAACTGAGCTGGGACGGCCCGGGTGGGGCATGGGGAGGTGGTGARCTCCAGATGTTGGCAGCTGTTTCATCAAGCAGCGTCCTCCCCTGCCCAAACCGCTGTGGGTTTGTGGCCAGGCTCTGTCTGAGCTCTCTGGGATCCTCAGTAAGGCCCAAGGATGGCAAATCCTCCCTGATCACAGAGTCATGGGATGGTTTAGGTTGGAAGGGACTTTAAACTCATCTCATTCCAACCCCTGGCATGGACAGGGACACTTTCCACCATCCCAGGTTGCTCCAAGCTCTGTCCAGCTTGGCCTGGATGAGGGCAAAGGCTCTGGCATTTACAGCCTGGCTTGGGGCTGGGTTTGGATGTGCTCTTAAAACCATTACAAAAATATTCTGCAGGTTTTTAAAAACTCCTGGGGAGGATGTCCATGAGAAATCCAGCAAACTGGAGCAGCTGGAGAATGAGGACCAGGAAGATTTGAAGGAAGATCCACTGGAGGCTTCACCATAGTAAATCTTTGGAGGTCTCACTCCAGTGCATCACACAGACTTGTGCTCTGCTGGGAACTGCTGGTGGCTCTGCCTCTCCTGGAGACAGATTCCAAACCCTGCTGTGAGCCAAAGCTGGGACATCTCTGCTGCTTCATTAGCAAAAACACCCAGAACTGTCCCCCAGCCCCACGAGCACAGCTGAACCTGTGGATTGCTCTCCTGCTGCTTTCTCCCCTCCCCTTGGGGAGGGAAATGTGATATTTTTGCTGTGRAATTGTYGATGCTCATCTCTAAGGTTCGAACYTGTGGAAAAGATTGCTYTGTCCTTGTGGAGGGATGTGCTGAGCAGAGCAGAGCAGAGCAGAGCCCTGGGCTGAGCATCTGCAGCACTGCTCTGGCAGCAAGCAGGAACACACTTCCCTSARTCTGAGCCACTTCCCTGAATCTGAGCCACTTCCCTGGGATTGCAGAGATGGAGCAGGCTGGAATCTCTCCTGTGATGCTGCTCCCACGATCAGGGACAGGAGGGTGCTGAAATCCCTCCCAGGGTCAGGCCTGGCTGAAGCTCCAGGCTCCACGGTTGCCCTGAGCTGGTGCTCACTTTAACTCCTTTCCCTCCAGGTAAGGACTGTTGTAATTTGCTGATTAAATAATGTGAAAAGAAACAAAGCCAGTAATGAATATGACTCCACTCCTGGTCAGATCTGTGGTTATTTGCTTTGAGTTTGAAGCAGGAATACCTGCAGTGAACAGAGAGAATCTTAGTGTGTGAAAACAGAAAACACTCTATTTTCAGTTTGCTTTCCACAGAGGAAATAAAATGCTGTGACTGTGGAAGGTTGAAAATCTCACTTCTTGCTGTTTGAAACTGGGAAATCCAAGCTTTCCTTGTTTAAAACCRGCTGCTGTGGCACCCAGATCTTGTCCCCAAGATCTTTTGGCAGCTCCTAAGCCAGAGGTCACCGGTCTGAGCCACTCAGCAGGTACAAACACAAGCTTGGACCATGAAATTTCCACCAAAATTGGTTACTGCCAACCTGAAAGTACAGTCCCAACTGGTCTTGCTCCTCCAAAACTGCTTTACAGCTACAGCCTGGAGATGCTGATGGGCTGCAGCCACAGCAGATGGTGGTGGGAGGGGTGGTTGGCAAGGCTTTGGCAGTGAAACATCTCCAGAAAACRGGCTGAGGAGATTCACTTCCAGAGAAAATCACCGGCTCATTGGCAACACAGAGGGGCTGGAAAATTTGAGTGGTGGAGGAGAAGGAAATGAGGAGCTCCAGAGGGKCAGAGGAGTGTAAGAGCATGGGGCAGATCCTGGCTGGGAAGGGAGGCCACGATCCCAGCTGGGACAGGGGCTGGAGGTCACCCAGCACCCACCAAGGGGCACCACACCAGGGAGATGYGGAGAAGCACCCAGACCTCATCCTTCCCACCACCGAGGGTGCTTTTTGTCCTGGGGAAGAGTCAAACCAGACCTTTCTTGGGGTAAAATCGGTCAAAATAAGTGCAAGTCCTGCGCAGCCCAGCCTTGGTGGGACAGCAGATCTCCCATCCTGGCACTGCGCTGCTCCTGGGATGTGAACCCACCTTGCCTTTCTCCTGATCTCCTCTCTCCACTCCACTTTCTTGCTGTGGGACCAGCCTTGGTGGCTCCTGAGGATCCCACTGCCCTCCCCTGTGTGTTTTCTGTGGCTGGAGCTGGTGACACTTGGTGGCCCTGGTTCTCGTGCCCTGCTCACAGGCGAGGCCACCTCTCTTTACCTGTTTTCCCTGTGATGACTAAAGATCACTCTGGGCTGTGCTGGGGATTTCCTCACCGGTCTGGGGAGCTGCCAAAAGCCCTCGAACCCCCCTTGTGCCATCCTGAGCAGCTCCAGAGGGGTCCTGGCAGGTGACAATCCAAGGATTGTCCAATCTGCAAGGATGGGCTGGAATGAGGAGCCCAGGAGCTCCCACATCCCTTCTGGAGTGCTGTGAGCCTTTCCCTGCAAYAAACAGAGGCAGGAGAGCTGTAAACCTGGAACAGGGCTGCTTATATGGAACAGGGACCCACCCCTGTCAGCAAACAACGGAGCAACCGCTGCTCCTGCTGGGCACTTTGGTGAGGGGGCGTGGGGAGGGACATCACAGGGCTGTCAGAACTGGAGTTCAGGGGCTGTGAAACATGGAAAGGTGCCTCCTGTAGGCTTTCCCAGAGGTTTCCAGGCGCTTCATTCCCTGGAGAGCACCAGCCACCCTCCAGCAGCCCCACATCTGGTGGGGTTTGGGGCAGGGCGCTGCACATCGTTCATCTGCTGGGGAAAGCAGTTAAACCACACCCAGGGCTGGAGGAAAAGAGGATTGGCTTTGTGGGCTGGTGCCCAGCACCCTCGTGGATCAGAGGAACTGCACAGCTGGGCTGAGAGGTTTCCACTGAGGCTGTGCCCTCCATCCCAGCTGGGGCTGGTGCAGGGAGCAGTGGCTGCACTCAGCACCCCTGACATGGTTCAGGTTCTCCCCTCAATGCCCTGCCATGGTTCAGGCTCTGATCACCCCTGTCAAGGTTCAGGTTCTCCTCCCAACACCCCTGTCATGGTTCAGGTTCTCCCCTAATCACCCCTCTCATGGTTCAGGCTCTTCCCTCGTCACCCCTGCCATGGTTCAGGTTCTCCTCTCAATGTCCCTTTCACGGTTCAGGTTCTCATCATCCCTGTCAAGATTCAGGTTCCCCCCTCACCACCCCTCTCATTGTTCAGGTTCCCCCCTCATCACCCCTCCTATGGTTCAGGCTTTTTCTTCCACACCCCTGTTGTGGTTCAGGTTCTCCCCTCAATGTCCCTGTCATGGTTCAGGTTCTCATCACCCCTGTCATGGTTCAGGTTCTCCTCCCAAYACCCTGTCATGGCTTAGATTCTCAGCACGTTTCCCATGGTTCCAGTTCTCAGCACCCCTCTCATTGTTCAGGTTCTTCCCTCATCACCCCTGTCATGGTTCAGGTTCTCTCTTCCACACCCCTGTGATGGTTCAGGTTCTCCCCTTAACATCCCCAGCATGGATCAGACCTGAAATTGCTGTATTTTTGTGCCCAGGTGGCAGGTTATTGGTTCATA